ACGCTACCGCTCATTCTATCCAGTAGGCTGACTTCTCCTTATGCACAGGTGAGAAACTAAGGCTGCAGTTGAGTAACTTACCAAAAGTCACGTAGCTGATAAACACTAGAGGAAATCATATGAGAAGAAGTAAATAGCACATCAAATTTTAAGGGGAAACCTGTAATTTTGCCAGTAATTAAATGTAAATGCATAGGATTTATGAGTAAGCGGTTATATTCACCAAAGCAAGGAAAGCAATAGTATATCATAACTAAGAGTAGCCAACTTGTGAGGTAGCATCTGCATCCAGGATGAGGACAGTATGAATAGTTTTCCTGAGCCGTGTATATTAATATACTTGTTTTTCTCAGTAATTTCACGTCACGAATTGCATCTAGTAGATTTCAAGGTAGAGAAACACATGCCAAAGTTTTTGGAGCCTCATCCCCTTCTCTGTCTTCCCATTGCTAACAGAACACTGAGGTCCTTTTCCTCCCTAACCCACACCTCACCTGCTGCCTCTGGCACTCTTGCTCCTATTTTCTGAAACCTTACCTCCTGCAAAGGACTCCCATTAGTTTCCCAGCTCCTGGGCATTTGTATGTTCAGTTTATCCCCCAGCATTCTTCCTAAACCCACAGCCATCAAGAACAGATGTGTAGTACTGCAATAGTAATAAGTACATATCTTACAGATTTTCTGTAGGATGAGCTTCAATTTCTTTTGTAGCTAGGGAGCTTCCTCGCAATCCTTCCCCAGCCTGGTGTCTTATGAATTCCCATTCTTCGTGCCATTTTCTGAATGCATCTGTTCATTTATACAAACCCTTTGTCTTGTGTTATTCAATGCTTAAATTCCTCTGCTCCTTCCCCCATAGGCACACTCATACCCTTTCTCCTCTGACATAATCCCAAGTCCAGTGAAGTCTCTTTACCTCTCTCTCCTCTTCACCTCCATATTGCTATCCATACAGATTCCTTCACTTGCCAACCTCATGTCACACTGCTCTGTGGTCGTTTGACATTTGGTTGCTGTAATGAGTCCATGGCAGAGCTCCCCAGAAGACAGTTTTTAGGTGTTTAGTACTATTTCTGGATGAGCTACACAGAGGAGTCAGGGCCTTCCACACTTCAGCCCCCCACTGATGAGAGTGAAGCTCCTTTTCAGTGGCTGAGCAGCTGCTTTCCCAGAAAAGTCTTGTTAATTCTGCCCACCCTTCCCTTCTAAACACTGAAGACATCCTCGGTGCAAGTAATACAGCAGCTCACTCTGGTTTCTCAGGGCAGCGTCCTGGGAGAGTGGGTGCTGCTGTGGTCACTCCCAGACGTGCCATGCCTTGGCTTATTGTCTTCTCCTCCTGCAGCTCCTCTGAGTAGGATATGTGTAATTTCTACCAGAACCAGAAGATGCGGAGCAGCCTCAAGACAAGATCATTTTCCATCCTACCAGGGGGAAGACTGTGAAAATAATATGTTCCGGAATACAACTCCCAAAACATCTCTCAAGAAATTGTTCTCAGAAGTTATAGCCGTGTGAACATCACTGAGGAAAAAAAAAACGTTCTTTCATTTTCATAAACTGGTTTCAAATTTTGTGAGAAATGTACATTTCAGAAGGATAAATGGAAATCAGTTAATGAATGGAAAAGATCAAGACATTAATAGACCAGTAGGAATGTAGGAATAGATGTAACTATGAAAGCTTATAATGGCATCTGTGGCTTAGATATGCTGAAACAGGAAAAAGAACATCTCTGTAGATAGAAGAGCTAATATAACCCTACTCACTGCTTTGATGTTTCACTTTCGTGTTCCTGCATTTGTATATTGTCATAATTTGGATTGTGATATGGTCACAGTAATATTTTCCCCACTATGAGACCAGAGGAAGGCCCATGTGTTTCAGCCTCACTGTTTCTTGTGCCTCAGAACCAGTGTGACAGAAAGTCCACAGTGGGGAGTGTGTATCTGCACCCACGCAGTGAGCTTTTCCAGCTCTCTTCCCCTTGGCCTATGTTGTTTCATTTTCAACTGGAAGGAAGGCATCAGCTCTCTGCTGTTGTGAAATGAGCATGACCAGGAGCTGGAAGGTTAGCTGTCTAGAATGGTGTTGCCGTTCATAGCTAGGTCACCTCTTCCAGCCTCATTTCACTCATGTATAAAACCAGTTCTTCGCCGGGCGGTGGTGGCGCACGCCTTTAATCCCAGCACTCGGGAGGCAGAGCCAGGTGGATCTCTGTGAGTTCGAGGCCAGCCTGGGCTACCAAGTGAGTTCCAGGAAAGGCGCAAAGCTACACAGAGAAACCCTGTCTCGAAAAAAACAAAAAAAAAAAAAAAAACCAGTTCTTCAAAAGGAGCGGAAACTAGGAGGTACTTTGGAGACCAGGGCTTCTCAAATGAGGTTCACATGCCGCTTGAAAACATTGCATCACATTTTATGAAGAAAATAATTAGTATCATAATGATACTTTTTCAAAACATTCCTTTTCATTGTGATGCCTATCCCTGCTCTCCATCAAGTGACTGAGAGCCATTGATATAGACCAGGCACAGTTACTCCAGTCACCCTCCTCTGTGATTGGACCCCATCACTGCCTGTCATTTTCTTCTTGCCTTCAGGGACCCAGAGACTTCTTCCCCACCAAATCCAACCTTACCTATCTATCACCTCAAGGAGCTCACCAACAATGCCAGATCTAATTTGAATTTTTGAAAGATGTGACTTCTTTCCTGACTATGTTTTTCTCCTGTCGTTATCAATCCAATACAGATTTATTCATCTGTCCTTCCCGGACAGCTATAGTGTCCCCTTATCT